ACTTTTCCTCCTTTAGGCTCAGAGATCCTTTTTCTGTCAGGGGCTGATACAATTGAGATTTTTCCAAAAAGAGAAGTTGATGAAAGTTGTAGAATGAAACACGTCATGATAAATGAATCAACTATACTTTTTAAGCCCCTTGTAGAAAAATATATCCAGAATGAATCTGTTTCACATCTGAGTTCTGAAATCTTTAGTTCACAGGTTACTGGTCAACAGAAAACAAGATGTGGCTGTACAAAGCCAACTCCTGGCTGCTTTCCTAAATGAAGACTCAGCAGTCGCAATCTCTATGGCAGCAGGCCGTTCTCTGCTTTATTTGGGGTTGAAAGCTGGCTTCTTCCAGTGCCTACCTGGAATTGGGAGCCTTGTCTGGACAGATGGAGATGGGGAGATGTCTGGGTTGGGGGTGGGAATTGTAGGGGTTGAGTTTCTGTCTCTGGTGATGCTATCTCTAGGTCATAGTATCTGAAGTTTGGTATTAGTAGTTGGCCGCAGCCAGGATTTACAGGGCTCTTCCAGCTTCTTCCTGGAGCTTGGGGAAAAGTAGGACACTCGAATGGTTTGGAGACTGAAGAAATAAGCCTGGGCCAGCCCCAGGCGGAGTAGGCTAGGTCAGTGTTGGTGAGGCTGGGATGATGGCTTTGGCCGTGGGTGCGACGCCCGTCAAATCTCCTCATGCAGGCGGGTTGTGCCATCATCCAGAAGCCGACAGTCCCCCTTCCTGTCATCCATCTGGGGCTGCCTGGGTGGGCTTTTGGGCCCAGAGCCTTTATGCAGGGTTGTGCCCACTGGAGCAGAAGAATGAGGGCCCCTATTTTAAAGCCTTCCTGTCACCACAGGTGCAGATTATTTGTCATTTTGGGGGAAAAAAAAAAAAAAACCTATTGCATTTTTGTGAAATTAATTTTATTTCAAAATGACTGAGGGAGTTTATGTAAATAGCTTTCTTGATGATTCTTTTGGTAAAGTCAGTACTTCTTGAATAGCGTAAGGTATCAGTGTGAATTGTGGGTTCATTAGGAGGATTACTGGCTG